GTAAATTATCACTTCTAACAATTGCTGATAATTCATCTTGTAATATTTCTATCTCTTTGAAGTTTCTAACTTTATAATAAAACAAATGACTTATGTTTACTCTAATAATTGGTGGGACACTTGATGATTTCTGAAGACTGACAAGCGTTGATATTCCACTATGACGTCCCCTACAGAATAAAGAATTTAACAATTTGTTATTTCTTGTTATTGCTGGGTTATCAGATACATCATCCAAAATTACCAAAATATTAAATAACTTCTTCATTCCTTGTTTTTTCTGGTATTCGATTATTTTATTTTGAGTTTCTATAACTCTTTCTAAATCTTCAACATTGAACTCATCCCACCAACACGGTTCTTTATCAGTATCTACTTTCAAACCTTCCTTAATGTATTTCTTCACTGGCAACCAAGTACTATCCAAATTTACTGATGGAGACCAGATAAAAACCCTTTCAAATGCTCCTCTATAAATATCAAGTATCATTGATACAAGTAGGGTGCTCTTTCCAGAACCAGACGGGCCTACAATCATAGCTCTCGTCGGCAATTTAGGGACGACCTCGTGCTTACTTTGCTTAAAGTCATATTTGATTTCATCAATTTGTTTTACATCAGGCATAATAAAAATAATATTAAAGACATTTAGAAAATAATTTAATATTTATTATTTTATATGAATAGAAGTTATTCAGATTATATTGATATAATAGATGAAGTAGAGAATATAGAACAAGTTGTTATAACTAATAATAGATGTAAAAAAATATGTTATTTTATTTTAGAATTAATTAAGTTTTTGATACAATATATCAAAAATAAAAATGTGAATATTAATATAAATGCCTCCAAAGAAGAAGCAAGAGAAACAAAAAGAGATTGAATGTGTCAAATGCGATAAATGCGGTCAAGCAATTAAACAACTAAATGAATTAGAGTTAGATAAAGAACATGTCAAAGTTAAATGTTGGCCGTGTTCATGTGGTCGAAACATGCATACAGTTCATACAGTAAAAAAGAAAGATGCTGACGGTAGCACAGTTGAAGAAAGTTGGGTAGAAAACTTCAAAAGTGGATTTGGTAGGTTATTTACACCTGAGAAAGAATGATGAAAAAATAATAGTTAAAATTATTTCTATTATTATTTATAATGCAAGATGTTATAAATAATATTATTAAATTCATTGATGTAAAAGAATTGAAATTAAATAATTTTATTGAAGAATATAACGAACATGATATATTATTTAATTTTGTTAATGACTTTAGAAATAGCAAAATTGATTTTAACATGTTTTATAATTCTATTAATTATGCTGATTTATTTGAACAATCAGATTTAAAATTCTATTGTAAAAGAATATATTCATATACTTTAAGATTTATTGCTAATTATGATAATAAAAATGCTATTCAGTTTTATGAAATTACATTGAGAAAAATGAATAATATTTACAAAAATAGTAACATTAATGTTGTTAATGTGTTTGAATGTATTAAATGTTTAATAATTTATATTACAGACAATATTGAAAAGTTTCATAAATATTCAAAATTTAGAAAAACTATTATTTGTAATTTAATTGGTAAATTGAATAATAATTTAACGAGTTACACAATAACTAATATTGAATTGACTTATAATGATATATGATTTTGTAAAATAAAAGTTTAGTTTTACAAGTTTTATTTTATAATAATATATATATATATATATTTACATGGATGAAGGATTAGAAAAGATTGTTAAAAAACTGAACAAAGTTTTAGAACAGAATAAGAATATTTTAGAAATCTTGCAAGAAATGGAAAAGAAGAAACCTTTAACAAACAGTTATCAAAGTAAAGAAGTAGATAGAACCAATGGTGAATATAAAAATAAGAAACAAACGTATTTAAACAAACTTAATAACAAAGAAATTAAAGAACCGAAGGCTTCAACTATGACATTTTATCAAATTGACTATGATGAAGATACAGGGGTTTATTCATAGATAATATTATCTAAATATCTTTAATAATGAACTTATTAGAGATGTTTAGCGGAACAGGCAGTGTTGGACTTGTTGCAAAGTCGCTCGGTTTCAATGTTATTTCATTGGATTTGAAAAATGCTGATATAAATACTGATATTTTGAAGTGGGATTATAAACAATTTGATAGGAACCATTTTGATTTTATTTGGAGTAGTCCCCCATGCACGGAATACAGCAAAGCAAAAACTACGGGAATTAGGAATATCGAATATGCTAATAGTATAGTTTTAAAAACTATTGAAATTATCAAATATTTCAATCCTAAGTATTTTGTAATCGAAAATCCACAAACTGGATTATTAAAAAATCAGGAGTTTATGGATGAGTTTGATTTTAAAGATGTAGATTATTGTAAATATGGATTTAATTACAGAAAACGCACTAGGCTATGGAATAACATTACAACTTGGAAACCTAAAGATTTATGTAAAAAGGATTGTGGCAACATCAGGAACTGGAAACATATTGAAACTGCGCAGAGACTGCCAAATGGAAACAAGGCAAAATGGGGAGACAATCCAATAATACATAAGCAGGAAGACTTATATAAAATACCTAGTAATTTAATACTTGAAATTTTGATGAGCTTGACCTGACGCTAATAGGTTTTGTTGTGAAACAAAATGTAGCGAGCGGGATTGTAAATCCAACATGGTACTATTCCTAGACACGAAGCATGGAAAAACAATTCCTCATGTTAAATCAACAACTGACGAAGACCGCAAACATCATCTTGTAAGGAACAAATAGGCATGGTGGAAAGAAAAGACGTGCATGGTGGAAAGAAAAGGCGCGCATGGTGGAAAGAAAAGACGCGCATGGTGGAAATGCTGTTTTTTACAGGGTTTCCACCGATGGTGGAAGGAAAAAACGGGCATGGTGGAAGTGAAATTCTGTTTGGAACATGGAGTAAAACATCACTTTGTCATTGAAGAACAGTAATAAGTCATAATGTTTAATCATACTATAATAATAACATGTAAAATCTTATATGTTATAATTATACTGTACTTATGGTTTGTAAAGATTGAAATATTTTATTTTTCTTGATTTGGCTGACTCTTTCAAAGTGCGTTGTTTGAACTTGGCATGCTCTTTTGATTTTTTCGTGCTTTGGCTGTTTGTATTTTATTTTGTTTGATACTCTTCTGATATTTTTTGTTGGTATGTTGCTTTGTTTTTGATTTTGTGTGTTTTTGAGATTGGGTTCTTTGATGGTTTTTATTTTTGCTTTTTTGTTGGTATGCTTGTTTGAATTATTTAATGTTTTATGCTTTGATTAAATATTTTGTTGGGGGTTGTTCTGGTTTTTGAGTTGCTTGGTGGTTCTTATCTTGTTTTCTGTGAATTTTGCTGATTTTGTTGTATGCTGTTTGAATATTTGGTTTTGATGCTACAAGTGCCATTTTATGTATTTTTTGGGGGAGTCCCTATTTTGACACATACCCAAGTAGCAACCAGCAACCAAGGCAGAAAACGAGCTGGAACCCTCCTGGCGGGTGACTCGTTGTGGGGAACCTACGCAGGGTGGACCCCTGGCAACTGGACTTTCCTGAAGCGGCGGGCCGACGCAGCCCGCGAGAGGCCTTGCAAAAATCATCATCCCAAAAACCACTGGCTTCCCAAGGATTCAAATCAGCTGGTATAGGGGTGATCCTTCACTGGCCGCAGTGGCATCCGAACAAAAGAACTCGCCTTGCAACATGGGGCGAGAGCCAAGCCAAAAAAGAGGCAGGCGAGAGGCATGCAGCTTGCCGCCTCGAGGTCAGATGGCACTTGCCCCATCGCCGGCCGAATTGGTTCGAATGGCTGACTGGCGGCCAAAGGCTCGAGCAAATGCCGGCGATTCGGTGCTGGCCAAGTCTGGACGAAACCGGCCCGTCGCCCTCTCTCTCTCTCTCTCTTTCCCTTCCTCCCTTCCTCCCTCCCTGTCCCCCTGTCCCCCTCTCCCCCTCTCCCCCCACCGCTCTCTCTCTCTCTCTCTCTATCTTTCTCTCTCTCTCTCTCTTTCTTTCTTTCTCTCGCTCTCTCTCTCTCTCTCTTTCTCTCTCTCTCTCTCTCTCTCTTTCTCTCTCTGTCTCTCTCCCGGTCTAGTGACCCCAGTGCTATCCCGCAGGTCAGCCGCTCTTGCCGACCAATCCCTCGCTCCGAATTCCAGGCGCCCAGCTTCTTCCGTGAGGTCCTTCACGTACACACCCAGGCCCTACGCGCAAACGAGGCAACCGGTTCTTGGCGCCCTGCAAAAAAAGCTCACACACAAAAGGCTCACATCATTTCAGCAAACCTCGGACATCGCTGTCTCAGGTATACTTAAACAAATAATAATATCTAAAAAGAAAAACAAAAAAAACGATCTAGGTATTACTTGTAGTAAACATTGGACCTCGCTTTCGCGGGTATCCATTTCAAGCGGATCGAAGGGAGCTGGGCCCGGAAATCGAAGGTCCAACAAAAACGCCCAGCCACTGGCAATTCTCTAGCTGTACCCTCCCCATTCTCTTCAGGCACTTTTTTTTTTTAAAAAAAAATATCTTCAAATGGGCCAAAACCCGAGAGAAAAGGGGTGGCTTCCAAAGAGAATGGGTGAATGGGGAATCAAAGCTTCGAGGGAGACTCGTCCCAAGCAGACGAGTTTCAAACCGGGCACGGCGTGCTTTCTTTCTCCGGCGATCCTGAACGAAGGGCAGCGCAAGTACTGTGCACTTGAGCAGGGCTCGTCTCAGCGCCTTGCGCTAGGCTAGGTCCTCCAGTACAGTGGTTAGAATAGGGGTACCCTTTTTTTTCTGTAGTCTATTTTAGTAGGGGCACCCTCCGGTAAAAGGGCACAACTGGTGGACCTAGTAGGGGAACGCAATTGTTTTGGGCATACAGGGGGTTTCCGACATGAAGACCATTCCGAGGGCATCCAGGCTACATGGAGAAGAAGTCCGTCTGGCTCTGACGTAAATCCATTCGTTCAAATGGGAGGGGGTCAGATTCGCCTGTCCGATCACGAGCCTCCCAATCAGATGCTCGATGTGCTTGACTGCTCGGGTCTTCGACCCGCAAACGCCAAAGTGAGACGCGCGGGGCCAACGGCGCGCCGGACGCGCGGGGCAACGGGCCAACGTGTCACCTCAGCAAGCCGAGCCATGGGACCAGGTTGCTCGCTCATGAGAATAGGAAGTCGAGGATGGGTGTTAGGTCTGTCCCAAAGTCCGATAAGCAAAAGAAACAGGATGTGTAGGCACCTCATGATTCACTGATTCAGGCCGTGCCAAAGTCATCCATTTGCCGAAGATGTGACTGAGAAATCACCCTACCCAAAACCAAACATGAAACTTGAATGCGGCACTAGGGGGCACAGCTTCCCTCGCAAACGATTTCAGGTTCCATAACTGCTTTTGACAGGGGCCGGGCCCGATTCTTCCCGTTTTTGGCAGCACTTGAAACCAATATAAAAAGGTACCCTCAAAAAGACGTGCACCCATTGTCCGATCCTTTCACACCCAAGGTTCGCCAGAAAGGGCAAATTCCCCTCCCTCCTGGAAGTTGACGACCGGAGGGTGGATTACGATCTTGCCCCCGGGGAACCCCGAAAACATCCGCTTCTATGATTGGTGGCTTCCATTTTTGCTTCTTCGCCCACTCGCAAAAATACTTCCAGTAACGAAATCGATTCCCTTTAAGACAAGAAAAAGGGAAGATAATAAAAATATTCTTACTTCAGCACATGGAACTTGGACAGGTAGGTCCAAAAGCTTGATTCGCTTTGGGCGGCCTCCAGCCGCCTCCAGCCATCTCCGGCCACGCTGCTTGGCTCGCTTTACGAGCCAGGACTTCGTGAGGGCCGCCGCATAAATCTCGCTTGTACTCGGCCCCGTGGGAATTCATCCACCACCTCGCGCTGTTTCAGCCGAAGATTTGTTCTTTTCTTCTTAAAGCGGACACGGAGATCTATGCCATCAATTTTAGGCTATTTAAGGCTGTGGGTCAAAACTAGGGTAACCCCAAAATGGGTTGCCCTAATAAATGGAAACAATGACTAAAACCTGTGGTACTCTGGTGGTTTGATTTTGACCCCGGGCCTTCCAAGTGAGGGCACCACCGGGACCGCTCAAGCTGTGGTGTGAAGCTCAAAACCGTGTTTGGTGTTGAAAAGCATGGTTTTCCAGGATAAAATCCTCCTTTCTTAGTAGAGGCTTGACATGATACCCTGAAAAAGGCAGGTGAAAGGAGTAGGGTGTGTGTGTGTGTGTGTGGGTGTGTCATCTTGTTGTCTTTGCTTTCTATTCTTTGTGGGGGGTGGGCCCCACAAAATTCGAGGCGTTCCTTGTGGTTTCAACTTTTCATCCAGCCTGGAAAGGGTACCCTCAGTACCCTCCAACAAACATATCCTTGGCACACCTGGTTCGAAAGCCTTGCTCCCAGGGCCACGGTTGCGCCATGCTTTTGGGTTGAGGGTACCTTACGCGCTCACTTGCCCCCTGGAGAATGAGGACATACCCTCCCACCAGCTAACATGGAAGTGCACAAACCCCTGTAGAAAGACGACTTTCCTCTTGGAAGGGCCTTTTGGCACTTCCATGTTAGTTGGTGGGAGGGTATACATATGTCCGGCAGTGAAATCGATTCCAACTTTAAACCAGAGGAACAAACATGGGAACACGGTTCCAGTAGTGAAATCGATTTCCTTAAAAAATAACAGGAGAAAACTAAACACGCTCAGCAAGGGAAGATCATGGGTCACCATAGCTGCTGCCATGGCTGCTTTTTGGACCCTGCCGCCGATCTCTGCCAACTTGCAGCCATCATTCTAAGCAACTGTCCAAACCCTGATTCAGAAGAGGGTTATTCTGGGCTTTCTATACCATAGATGGGGGGAGAATCTTTGGTTTCAGCCCCACACTTTGTTTGCTTGGTTGTTCTCGAGTTCATTGGTGTATTTCCGGTTTATCGCGTTTCTCTCCAGTTTCCTCAAGTTGCTGTTTCGTCTGGTTTCTCTCCAATTTTCCCTCATGCATGATGTTGACCCCATATTAGTCAACCCCAGTTTATTCATAGGGGGTGCTTCTGCCTGGTTTTAGTGGCGAATCAAACCACGATTGGAGAGCCAAAAACCACCCCCTATGAATAAACAGGAATTGGTTGATGAATATGGGGTCAACATGATGTCCCTGGCTCACCGGTTTTCTTGCTGGTGCTCAGGGAATGCGGGAATGAACCTGGGGATTCCCTCAAAGGAAACCACCAGTTGGACGGTTTCTGTTGGGGTCATTCCATGTCTCATTCCCCGCGATCGCACGCGCCGATCCTGGTCTTGGACCCTACTAGCCCCTCAGACCCTATTGGACGCTGTTAGTAGGAAACCACCAGCTGGATGCTTGAAAGGGGTTATTCCATTTCTTCTTACCCAAACGAACCTGCCTAGACCCCGCATCTCTCGCACCGATCGCAAGTTTTGTTCTCCCACTAAAAGGGGACACCCCCCTACTAATCAACCAGGGGTTTATTAATCCGGGGTTAACATTAGGGGTTGTTTTGCTATCCCAAACCCGCCCACACCCTCCGACGTCCCTGAGATTTCGAAATCGATTTCTCGGAGATCGATTTGAGGCGCGGTGGTTTTCCATTTCTTCTTCCCAAACCCGCCCAAGTATTGTTCTCCCAAACCTTCCATTTGCTTAAGCCCTCTGGCAAAGAAACATATTTCCAGTAGTGATCGATTCCTTTTAAAACCAAAAGGGGAAGAAAACACATTCGTTTCAGCAAGGGAAGTTCATGGGTCATAGCTGTTGCCATGGCTGCTTTTGCCATGGCCCTCTGGAAGAAACAAATGGAGGAGCTCCTAGGCAAATGGGGGCCATGGCAAGTGTAAGGTTTACCTTTTGGACCCCAAAGACGCTTTTTTTCCCAGTTTGCTTCTCTATTTGGGTGTGGCTCAAAATTCTCCAGGAGAGGTTACGCAGGTTTGGGTCCATGTTTCCACTTCCCAGGGCAAGCCATGTTGGCACCGGGTTTTTGAGCCACGACCATTTTGGAAGAAACCCAAACCCACGCCCGACGCCCAGTCCGTGAAGTCCGAGTTCACGCCTCCGCGGGCCTGCCGTAGACCCGCAGCGCGTAGCGGGTGCGCGAGGAGTCGCGCCGGTGCCGCTCCTTCCAAAAGGTGACGCCCGTTGATTGGTGAGGTTCACGTGCTTTTTTCTTTTTTTTTTGGGGGGGGAAGGGGTGCGTTTGTTTTCTTCCTCTTTTTCGTTTCTTGGGTGTTAAGGTGGATCTAGTTGTTGTCGTTCCCCGGTTGCGCGTTTGTTTGTCTCCTTTTGTTGGTTTATATTAAAGTGGACGATTTATTACAAGTGTATAAGTCCTAGTAGTTGGTTTGGGGCGAGCCGGTGTGGAGGTTCGAAGTCCTTGGTCGTCCCACTTGGCGGTTTTGATTGGAGGCTACGGGGTGGTTCCCATGTGCCCCCTCAATTACAAGAACGAGGGGTTCAAATCCCCACGCCACCAATCCAAACCACCAAGCTAAAAAGGCCCGCGGAAAAAAAACAAGAAAACTCATTCTGTTGTTGCTTTAGTCTTGGGAACATAAAGGAATCCCCAGAAAAATAACATATGTCCTGACTCTGTTCCGTAGGTTTGACACTTCATCTCCCCTAACAATGCATAACATTTTCTTGGAGAGCCCTAGCGCGCCTGCAATCGCTGCAGGGCGCTATCACCTTCGCCTCGCAAGAGCGCGGCTACCAGGTTGCACCATAAGACTGGATCATCGAACACGTTAAACAGGCTGTGGGTTGTAATAGGGAACATGGGAACACCCTGGAGTTGGTGGACATAAACCCACAAGCAATGTAGCCTCGGGCCCCCATTGAACATTCATGGCCCATGGCACAACACCATGCGCCCAGGTAGCCCCAGTCGAGGCGGACCACTTCAAGGAAAGAGCCTTGGGCATGCTGGCACTAAAGCCCGATGACATCCAAAGCATGAACTGTAGTCGGAACCCTGTCCAGCCGTCTGTACATGCTGGAGGGGGCAGGGGAAGGCTGGGGTGGGGTGGGGTGGGGTGGTGGTTTGCGGGGTAAGCCAGCAACTCATTGAGAGGCCCGCCTTGGGGCGCGCCTTGGGGCGCGCCTACGTGAGCTGCATGTCGAAGCTTCTGTGGGACCTGAGCTCGATTGTCCGTGACAGAACGTCTTTGAGAAAGTCGATGGGACGACCGCACCGCGAAGGGAAGATGGTGCCAAATACGTTCAAGTGATAGGCATGGGACCAGAGATCAAGCCGGCAACTTACCGCCAGGGCTCCCGCTTAGACTTATGAGTTCTTGATCCGGGCAATTCTGACTGGGCGAGCTGAGCCAACCAAGAAAGGGCACCCAACAAGAACATGCGACCCCAGCTACTTGGATGTTCAAGCAACTTAGTCAGTGGATGCAAGTGGTTTATGGTTGTAACTAGGGATAGTTCCATATCCATGGTCACCTACTTACGTCCTGCTAATAGGGGACGGGGGTGTCATCATACAAGTCCCTCACAAAGGAAACCAATCTAGATAACTCAGGAGAAGCCGAGTTACTAGTGCGTTGTATTGAAGCAGAAACCACTTTTGCAGATTCACTTCGGACAATGGCTTCAAGAACCCTCTTAGCATGCACCACTGGGCCAATGACCTCACTCCCATTATTCCACCAAAGTCAGCCCGCAAAAAAAACAACAACAAAAAAACGGGGCTCTTCTAAAAAACCGCAACAGTCAGCCCTCTTTTTCATGGGAGGCACCACCCACCCGCCGTTTCTCACCGAAGTCTTCCCCAGAAACCCTCCCCCGCGGCCCCGCGCCGGGCTCTCCGAGCTCTCGTCCCGAAGCCTCCGAACCGCCGGAGCCGCCGAGGCGCCTGGCGCGCTTTGGCCCGCGAGCGGTTTGGCGCGCGCGAAGGGCGTGGAGTGGTCGGTCCTTAAGGCAAGCCTCTCTGGCATAGGCTTCCAGGATCTGGATGTGAGAGGTTCTATGGAAAATGCGCCTCTAGGGGCTCAAATTCAAAACCACCAACCAAAGCAAGTTGCCGTCGACAGGCAGAATGAAACTCCACCCCTAAACCACTGGGATTCAGCGAAAACGGGGTATCCACCTTGGAGATTTGATCTCTTGCAAGTGATCAAGGTTTGGATATGTGATAAAACTCAACTCTAAACTCTAAGCAAGCCTTAGGGTGTGGCTGGTACCGCCAAAGATGGAGGATGCTTTCCACTACCACCCCAAACCGCTCACGCGTATACCCTACTTACTGGCTACAAAGTCGTTGCAGTAGTGGTGTTGGGGGGAGTGGAAAACATGATAGAGATCGGTGCTTCGAACAGATTTACTTTGCCTATGGGAGGCACAGCTGCCTTCATATTGGGGAAACGGAATGCACCAACATGAGGCGTGTGGGCTACTTTTACTCAACTCTGGATCAATAATAGGCCTGGACCTTCATTCGTCACATAAGTTTGTGTCCCTCCTTGGGGGTTTCGTAGCAGACATGTGCAATGGAAGGTGGGGATTGGCGCAAATCTTCCATTTGCTGGCCCCTGGAACTTGGCACAGGAGCGTTTTTTAGCGGCCGTTCAAAAAAAGGCCCCTGGACAAAAAATCGACATTTCCAGGCGTGATATTTTTTTTGAAAACCAGAAGGGGGAAAAACATTAAAAAACAAAATGAAGCATATGGAAGGCATTACGTCGATCTGATCTTCTGCTCGATCCGTGGCCAACCCGCAGAATTGAGAGGCCAAGTCAGGGCAGATTTCACGGATTTGAAGCCTAGGGCTGGGAGGCAGGACCTCAGGAGCCGAATCTTGAAAAATAGACCTCCAACACCCCCATGAGAATCAACCAGAGGTTCTGCTCAATGTGGGGCTCTGGGGTAGTGGCTTGCCCTCTGCAAGTCACAAGTCCCGAACCGGAAATCAGGCAACTTCCTAAGGACCTTCATTGGTGAGCTCTTACGGAACTTGCTCAGACACCGTGCAAACCAACGCAAGCGGAGGCCAGACGGCCTATGTGTGGACCTGACATCAGCTCGTTGAGGATGTCCTGCCGGCAACTTGTGGGTTTTCGGCCCCGAAGCTGCAGCGACCCACCGGCCTTTGCTTCCTTTGGGCTGCTTCCCAGGCTGCTTCAGGGGATTCTCCAAATCTAGTGGATTGGTGGAGGTGCGATTTGTAGTCAAACCAAGGAGGCGTGAAACTGCGCCCAAGGCAGTTTCATCCCCTTGGCAATGCCCAGCCTCATGCCCAGAAGAATTAACAAGGAATTTGTGCCAGTCAAGCAAACCTAAACATACTCACCTACATCTCACTCGTTCCGCGCCGGTACGCCAGTGATCCACCTGCTGCTTGATTGGGCTATGGTATTGGATTCCCTCCATTTGCTTTGGCCTCCTGGAAAAACGTATTTCCAATATAGGGCAAGATCTTGTTTGAAACCAACGGGGGATCAATCACACATTGGCTTGCCCGTTTTGTAGGGAACACCCCAACAAAAACAGTGTCTTCCCATTAAATTGAAACCCTCAAAAAAAGGCGAGCCACCCATATCCTGATCGAGTTAGGCAAATGGATATGTTGTGACTGACCACCCCCGGAGTTGCGTAGTGAAGTTTGCGGGTGGGTGTTTCAAGACGTGGTTGGGAAACCAGGCCTACATTTCACAGAGAAAAACATGCAGCAACAATAGCCACCATATCATATGGCCATGGGTCAAAATCCCGTACCCCCAGTGAACATCCCAATCCCCACTAAAATCCCGACAAAAATGGGTGGTGAATTCACCGAAAGCCCCAAAATGGGATCCCAAAACGGTTTTGACCACCACAGCCATATGCTCACCGAGAAACGGTTCGATCTTCCCGCCTGCATTTCCTGCAGCTTCTGGGACAAACTCGCTTCCAGGTTCGGCACACTTTTGCTGCCCGCCCCTGGCGAGCTGCTCGCGAGCGCCAAGGCTCGCTCGCCAGCGCTGGTGGCTGAGTGGATTTCGGAGGTTTGGTTCAGGGCGGTCTCCCGTTTGCCCGCTGCAAGAACCAGCGGTTCAAATCTTCAGAATTCTCAAACCAATCCAAACCACCAAGCAGGGGACAACCGACCCTCGCCACCACAAAAAACAACCAAAAGAAAACAGGCACCAGCAGGAAATGGCGCAGCATTCATAGGGTAAACAAACCCATTCTAGGTGGTGCAAAATAGGTTTCGTCCAGCCGTTGGGTTGGCAAAAAAGACAAATCAACCTGGGAAAGACGCAAAAAAGGCTTACAAGCAAAGCGGTTCCAACAAAAACTCGCTTCGGCCAGCCGGCGAAATGAAGCAACAGCGAAACAGGCCCCTAAGAGACTCTTCCATTTGCTTCTTCGCCCCCTGGAACAAATTCAAAGTATGTCCAATGGCGATAGATTACCTGCAAAACCAACGGGGCAAAATAGAAATGTTCTTAAGCAAAAGGAAGGACTGGGAAGAGACTGGGCCTATTTTTGACCACTAGAAAGACTTCAGACGCCTGCGGGTGCGCCAATCCTAGCGGGCTAGCAAGCGCAGGTTCCCGCAACCAGAGAGCCAGGTTCCCTCTAAATGACCTTGGACATGCAAATCAAATTCTATACACTCGGTTGCTTTCTGCTCCCCTGCTAGAAGTTTAATGGAAAACACATTAGGCAAAAAGTTTAAGTCCTAACATCCAGGCAACATGCAAAATGCAAAGTACCGAAAAAGCTAAACAGCTCTGGGACGGAATCCACTAACCCCCAAACCACCTACCCTTTGGCTAGAAAGTGGGTGCAGATCCAGCGTGTGCAAAGACTGACGGGGCTTCGGCCTTCTTCGAAGGGCACGTTGGGCAGAATCTGCCTGACACTGCGCACGGGATTTCCACACGTGAAGGGAACTCTTAGCTTGCAGACCACGCAAACCGAGGGTGAAAACCCCTACAAAGCACACCGCAACCCACCCACCCCCCATCCCCCCCGCCACACACACGCCCACCTCAAAATCCCCCCCCCCCCAACACACCTCAACTCACTTCCTGCGGGGAATAGCCAAAACAAGTCCAAACTTGTTATTTATCCCTCAACTGGTCTTCCCAACAAGCTTAAAGTCCAGGAACTCAGGAAGTGAGTCAAAGCCCCCAAAAAACCCAACCATCCCATCCAAAAACCCAGTGTTCGGGTTGCTCGCTCTCCGCTTCTTTTCGCTGAGGCCGCAACCCCGTCTTGCGGAAGCTGCTTTGCATGTGCGCCCGCAGCGGCACCGGCGACAGATCCCGCGAGGTCGCGACGCCCGCAGACCTGAGCCCGACCACGAACTCGTACCCAGGGCGTTACTCGGATACACACCCACTATACAAAGGGTACCTGGGCCGCCTCCAGATCCCCTGTTGAAAGTTTAACTTGTGGGTGCAATGGAAACTACCAAAAAACACTAAAAAGCCAAAAGGCTAAGGGGATGGCTGTGAGCCACCATGGTATACTGGACCTGTTTGCCTTATGGGGGCGTGGTTTGGCAAGACTTGCTTGAGAAATCAGCACATCGAAAAGCCAAACACATTTGTACACGCAAATCTCCAAACAGAAAAACTGATAATAGGCGACAAGGCCAGACAAGAGACGGCAAGACAAGATACAACAAGGTATGATCCGACAAGACGCGGTAAGACAACATAGATAGATGGATAGGGCATGATGGGTGGGATAAGACTGCTATTTATCAGGTTGGATTACGTTGATGGGTAGATAGGCAAATAGTTCAAGAGACAAACAACCAGGTGAGAAAGATAAGACAGACATACAATGAATACCATTAACAATATACATAGGAAAGGCACATTTGACACGAACTTTAGATGGTAAACGTGGAGATTAAGGTAGATGAAATGGGTCAATCACGATAAGATAGATATGGTAGCTAAGATGAACCAAATAACACAGATTTGCAAGACAGATGCAACCGGACAAGGTAAGATAAGATCACATAAGATGATATAAGGCAATATGATACAGTGTGTGATACGATAAGCATTGATATTACACGGCACGATGATAAATCAGAAAGGAATTCTGTCAGGAACTACATAACAATAGATACGCCAATGTAGCATAAAACCAAACCGGCAAGGTTGACATATCCAGTAAGCAAGACTGTGTGTGTGTGTCTTGTGTGCGTCTATACAAGTGTAACCCCCCCGCAAAACGCACACACACACACAGTCAATGCGCAGGTATAGGCTATTGGCAGTGTGCAACATGCCAAGCTCGGTTGCTTTCTGCTCCCCTGCTAAAAGTTCTTAACTTTTAGGGGTTTAATACGGAAAACCCATTAATTGGCCAAAAGTGAGAAAGTTTCCAAAGCTTCCTCTTGGTCCAACCCCCCCATAGGCTACTCTCGAAAAAACCGACAGATTCAGGGTGTTTCGTCCTTGTGGCTCAACATGCCAAAGCCAACGTCTGAAAGGCGCGGCTTGAAACGCGCGCTGTCGAGGCGCGATTGCATCTGCGGCATCTGCGGCATCGGCTGTGGCTTCGCCACGCCGTTGGTGCCGTGGTTTAAGGCTCGGAGGATAGCTTTCGGGTCGTCCTGGCCCTCGCTCGTCTCCTGCGTCTCCGCGATCTGTTTGACAGGTCGAGGAGAGAATCTGAAACCAGCAAGCCCAAACACAGCAAATTCTTCCATTTGGTTAAGGCCCGAGGAGCCAAAACATCCAGTAATTAGTGATGAATTCCTTTTAAGACTTAACAAGGGATTTTTTGTTTAACATATTCTTAAGCGAAGGCAAATCGCATGACCCCAGCAAATCGCAACTCGGTCCTTCACAGCTTCCTCCAGGTGCAGCAACTGGGTGTTTAACCGCTCCAAGTCTTTTCGCACATCCTGGCATGGAGTCACTGCCCCGTTGGGTTGAACGACCACCCACTTGACCATCGCGAGGATCAACCAGCTCCACAACGCC